GAGTGCTACTATCATTTACGAAAGGCATTAAATCTACCAATGTTTCATCAACATAGTTTATCAATTGACTTTAAACAATATAGAGACCGCCAATTTGTCTTTGCTTTCTCCTTTGAAAAAGTGCCGGATAGTAGTTATACAGGAATTAATACACGTGCAGGGCAACAAATGTTATTAAAAGTTAAACCCGCAAACGCTTCAATAACTAATACGAATATGCCAGATAATTGTTATATAACATTACTGTCGGAACAAATATTAGAAATAAAAGACCTCGGTTTGAAAGTTTTTGACTGATTATGAGATAATTAATATTAATAAAATAATTATCTATTTTATTAATATTAACTAATGCCTTTGACACTAAATAATACAAACACATTAACAGCAGATTATATTGTTGTAAGTGGAACGGATTTGACAGACCTATACGCAACAAAAACAGAATTAGGAGACATCAACACAGCAAACGCAACGGACATAGCAACAAACACTGCAGATATAGCAGTTTTAAACACAAAACAACTACAAAACTTTCATAATATTAGTTCTTTAACACACTTATTAGATACGGAGTATCAAACAAACACCACCTTAACGAGCACATTTTACAATAAAACAGAAATAGACTCAACCTTTACGAATTATTACACACAAACTCAAATAGACACAAATTTATCAACAAATTACCAGACCAACACCCAATTAGGAACAAATTATTATAATAAAACCGAAGTAGACGGATTAATAGCAGGAGGAGGAGGCGACACATACACAACAACGGAAATAGATAATTTACTCGCTTTAAGAGTTCCAGTAAGTGATTTTACCAATAGATTTAGTGCCAATCCTATTATTGATTGTTCCGCCCCTACGATTATTCATAGTGGATTAACATTAAATAATTCAACTATAAATATTAGTCCGGTAGAAGGGTTATTATTTAGCAATCAGACAGGAGGAGGTGATAAAGTATTAGCAGAGTTTAAGAACGCAACGAGTTATATAACTTTGCAAGGGGATAAGATATTTTGTAATAATACATCAGATGACGCTATTAAACAATTAGATTTAACTAATAATAACGCAGGTTATAAAATGAGTGGGAAAATAGAAACGCCAACAGGTGGTTTAGTAGTGGAAAATACAGCAGACGCTAATTTATCATTTACCGTTAGAAATACTGATAATTATATTACTTTTAATAATGATAATATCGATTGTTATAATTCCGTCGGTGATACAGGTAGAATATTAAACTTGAATAATAATGCTAATCAATATGTTAAATCACATTCCTTATTAGTAGATACAGGAACGGAAACATTAACAAGCGGGTATAATTTGGATGTTGTTGATAATGCTATTGTTAGACAAAACTTAAAAGTGGATGGTAATTTAGACTTATCTAATGATTTAAATTTTTATGGTGAAAATTGTAATATATCTAATAACTCAGGACTTACATTTTATAAAGATACAACAGATGCGTCGAATGTTATGACTGTAAAAAATGCACAAGGATATTTAAAATTTAATTCATTTAATATTAATGCTTATAACACAAGCAACGACAGTTCATCATTGCTTTTATTAAATACTGCTAACGGTAATGGTGTTTATTGTTTAAGTTTAGGCATCGGAGCAATTCAAGGAGCAAATAAACTAAATGTAAGTGGTGGGAATGCTAATTTTGGAAGCACAGCATCGTTTCAAAGCACATCAACATTTAATGGAGATATTTATGTTAATAACTCAGGCAGAATTTTTCAAAGAGCGGACGTTAATAATTCATTAAATGTAATATCGACAGAAGAAATTAATTTTTCATTACAATCAAATAGAACAACCGACCCAACAACAGGAACAATAGCACTACAATTAAACGACACTAACGGAATTACTATTAATAGAGCAGTTACAAATAATCAAACATTTAATAGTATTGGTAATATCGTTGGTGAGGCAGATGTTATTAGTTGGGGGCGTTTTATGTTCCAGAATAGTAGCGAATTTAAGGAAGTATTGGATGGACAATATAAATTATTTGTTAGAAATGGCGATGCTTTAGGTGATATTAATTTAACAGTTGGATTAGAAGCTTCAACGCCGGAAATTAAAATAACAGATGGAAAAGTAAAAATG